CTCTCCTCTCCTCTTCTCTCCTCTCTCCTCTCTCCTCCCTCCTCTCCTCTAACACATGGTTAAAGTGAACTCTTTATTAGAGGAGACATTTATAATGACAACATGAAGAATAAAATGTTATTTTAAGCTTATTTAAACTTTGTTTTTGGCTGCTCTTTATGATGGAATTGTTCATCGCATATGATGTGTTCAAAGACCGTCTGAAAGTTGAAAATCTCACGATTAGGACGGAGGGGTTTGGGGTTCAGAGGGTTTAGTCTAGGACCAAGTTTAATTTCTGTCAAAAAGTAGTTCCAAAGTTTTGCACACAACATTTAACACAACTAAATCAGCCAATAACAACAACAGGAGCTGTGTTAGTTCACTAAACTCAAAACCCTTCCTCTGTGATAATTAGCTGTCTGTCAGTATATCTGAGCTTCTTTTATTTGCTCCCCCGTCCTGCTGAGACCTAGTTCATGTGCTGAGGGAGGTGGATGAAGGAAGTCCAGCTGAGGCCGAGGGGATGGAGGACGGAGACCTGCTGCTGGCCGTCAACGGTAAACCTGTCGAGTCTCTGGAGCACGACGACATCGTCAAAGAGATCAGATGGAGCAGAGATAAAGTCGTCCTCGCCACCATATCGATACCAGGAAGAGACTTTTACAGAGAGGTACATTTATTTATATATATATATATATACACACACACACACACACACACACACACACACACACACACACAGTTCTATCATCATACTGTTGTGTCAGATCTCTCCTTCATCTGCTTCCTGTTGTGTTCCTGTAGTTGGGTATTTCTCCCCTGTTGTTCTACGAGGAGAGTTCAGTCCAGGATGAGAGGCAGCAGACCAGGAACCAGAGGGAACTCCCTCTGAGGGACGGACGTCCAACAATCTACGTTCAGGACGGAGAGGAGACGGGCGGACCGGGACAGACCGGGTCTCACATCAGTCAGGAACTTTAACCCCAGAGGTGTAATATTCTGAAGCTGTGTGGAACTCCTCACATTGTTTTTATCTGAAATCACTTTATCACACATAAAAAATATAATAACAACATCACATTCTATGTTTAATGTTTTCCAGCCGTCAGAGAACAAGAGATGCTTTCTGAGGTCCTTTGATTTATTCTAAAATCACAAATCTACTGTGTGATTATCCTCTGGGACCATGATGATCCTCTGGGATCATCTGCTGGGACCATGATGATCCTCTGGGATCATCTGCTGGGACCATGATGATCCTCTGGGACCATGATGCTCCTCTGGGATCATCTGCTGGGACCATGATGATACGAGATCTCAGGACCTTTTTATTTTTGTACATTTTGATTCATTTTTTTAATATTAATTATAAACTGGTCATTATTTAGTGTGAAGCTTTCTGTATGATTCAATTAAATTATTAAGCTCCATATATAGAAGCTGAACATATAGAAACGTGCATTTTTTAAAACAGATCTTCTTTATGTTCTCTATTTGCACAGAACATTAAATATTAAACCCTTTTTATCAGTATATACTGTTTTTGTTGTATTTATTTTGGGGTGGACATGATCCATGGTGGTCGAGACATTAGACAAGACATCACACAACAAACTGTTCTATTCTCATATAGTATATGTCATGAGAAATCCTAGTGGTATAAAGTATTAAATATGGTTTATTTAACGGATTATTGCCAAATATGTTTGCATCAAAAAGGAGTTTGACTTGTTTGGTGCGTGATGATAAACACAGTGAAACAGCATAAAAGACTTAATAAAAATATGAAAATGTACAATAGATTAAGATAAACAATATAAGAGTTAATAAAGTGTTCAGTGTCTGAATTTGGTGATGCCATAATTTCACATGTTAAAAGCCTTGTATGACGTCAACATAAAGGGTTTGATAAAGTTTTACTATAAATATCATTTACATTTACCTTCAATGCTGTATTAAAAAATTTAGTTTTCGGTAATTTTATCCCAAACTTTCATAAAATGGTCAGAAATAAACTGCATGCAATAATTTATACCGGAGAACATATTTGGTGTTATCGAATTGATATATTTCAACAACATACTTGATTAATTTCATGAACAGGAGTAGTTATGCCTAAACCTAACTGTGGCTTCCTGTGAAGACGGAAGTTTATTTTGAAGAAAATTAGGAAGTTTTTGTGAGATATATCAATCATTTGAGGATTTCTCAGTGTTTTTTCACCATATTTATGATGAAATGAATCTCAATGAAAGCGGTTACATATTTCTTCTTTTTTCTGTCTTATTTTGAAAAAGCTGTTACCATTTTATTTAATTTATTGAACAAATTGCACATACTGACAAAAAGAATCATCAACATACATATATTCAAACTAGCATACCAGAGTAATAAACGCAGAAGATAAGAGAAATAGAAAGGTAAAAACAATATACCGTTATAATTTTAACCGTTATAAGTCTTATTTTGAAAAAGTGAGACCGGAAGCTGCGCAGTCTTTCTTCTTGGTGATCACAGCGCTCAGTTTAACGGTTGATACTCGCGAGACGGCTGTCAGGCTCCATTCCCTCCTAACTACACCTCCCCAGTAGAACAGCCATGGCGTCCGAAGAGCTGGCGAAGAAGCTCCAGTCCCGGCTGGTCGCTACGCAGGAGGCCGCCGACCACGACCCGAGGCCGGACTCCGGACCGAGCCCGGTCCTCCGACCCAGACCGCAGGAGGCCGAGGCAGCCTGCGGAGACTCCTCGTCCTCCTCCTCCGAGCTGTCCGCCGTGCTGACCCGCCGTCAGGACATCAACGACGGGACCGCCGCACCGCGACTGACCCGCGTATTCAACCCGTACACGGAGTTCAAGGAGTTCTCCCGCAAGCAGATCAAGGACATGGAGGCGATGTTCAAACGGTAAGATGTCCGTTGGTTTATGCACGCGGAGCAGCGGAGGTTCCGACATTGTTGACGTGTAGTCGTGCGCGCGTGGGCCGTTGGTGGCTGAGTGAGCGCGCGGATGATTAAGATGATGATGATGCTGCTGACGTGAAGCCTCGCGGGTGAAAGCACGAGCTGTCACTCTGATCACGACACCGACTCACCGAAGCCCTCGTCACCGTTTTGAGGGATTCTTCAGTGCGTGTTTTAATCCGTCCGGTGACGTCTCGTGATCGGAGGGGAGAGCGCACGAGGCCATAGATTACATTGATGGGTTCAGATTTATTGACATAAAAAACTGACGGTGAAGATATTCTACGGAGGCCCAGATGTGACATTAAAGTATAATGCGTCATATTCAATAAGTATACATGACTCAATTACAATATATATATATACATATATATATGTATATATATATATGTATATGTATATATATATATGTATATGTATATGTGTATATATATATATGTATATGTATATATGTATATGTATATGTGTATATATATATATGTATATATATATATGTATATGTATATATATATATGTATATGTATATGTATGTATATGTATATGTATATATATATATGTATATGTATATGTATATGTATGTATATGTATATGTATATATATATATGT